TCTCGTTGCAGTTCTTGATCAGGAAGTTGTCCAGAAGGTTGAGCACGTCTTGGCACACGGCCTCCAGCTCTTTCTCGATCTTCTCCCTGTAGGCCCTCACCATCTCAATCTTCTTTTCATTGCCGTCGGCCGAGGTCTTCTGCTCGATGCTGGAGATCACCCTCCAGGAGGAGCGACGGGCCCCGACCACATTCTTGTAGGCCACAGACAAGAGGTTCCTCTCCTCGTTGGACAGGGCCTCGTTCAGCTCTGTCACCTGGAAGAAGGAGAAAATAAAGCATTAAACCATCTGCAGGGCACAAGCCTTTATTAGCACCCCACTGCATGAACATTGTACAAAAAGCATGTGAGAACATATAATCCATGAAAATCTATGGTTATTACTTGAGTTTGCAGCATTTCTATTTTAAAAAGGGCTTTCTTTTCATAGTTACAGTTTCTTAAAAGTTGGGACCTCTTGCTTTTCTTTGTTTAAAATCATTGTAAAATGAATTACTTTTGGTTTCAGATTGTAGATCGGGAAAGAATTGGGCCATTTTGTTATGCCACATTGAGGGTTGCCTCTGTATTGTGGTTTGGGTTTGAACATGCGGACCATGAACTGCAATGTATCCTGATCAAGCCTGGACATTTCCTTTCATTCATGTATGTTCGTCAGCGTCAAAGGCATACAAATAGAGAGAAAGTATACTCTCTAAAAAAAACTTTTAGGTGAATGACTGGACTAACAGAGCAGTTCACAGCACAGAAGGTGAACAATATTATGATGTGCAACTTCCAGTCTCCATACTAATCCATTCATTCAGTGCAGCAGTAGCTCCAGTTGCCTCATGCACAGCTACAGCTACTTAGGGAGAAACAATATTCAAGATAGTCTACGGCAGTGGGGGGTTGGGAAAGGAAAGGGGAGGAAGGAGGGTTGGAGATGGCCAAAATGTTCCCACGAGCACTCCGGGCAGCTGCACTGTAAGTGAAAACCATCACTGCACAGGCGGTTCACGTGTCCCAGTGACCTTATCTCTGACTCAAACTGACCTTTTTACCTGTCTCAAGCACAACGCTGTGACATCACTCTGAGTTTGACTGTCAAATTTAGATTTTGAGAGATGGTTCTGATAGTTGGGTGGTTTTAAAGAGATGATGTGGCTTTAAAGAAGTCACATGACTCAGGGTTATTTAATTGGAAAAGAAACCTTTGAATGGCCTACATCAGATTAATAATTAAAATCCAGCATACGGAGAGAGACATTTGTAGCTTAGGTTGAACTAAGCTATGTTTTTCCTGAAAAAACTCTTCCTTGACATATTCATACTTTTTTTTTTTTTTTTTTTAAAGGAAACAATACTGAGAAAATAAATCTGAAAACTGCATAAAAGGCTGTTATGGTGAGAACAAAGCATGTATATGTTCTATGTCATATTGTATTTTCTGGCTGTTAGCAAGGGATTCCCTTTGATTAGAGAAGGAGAGTACACACCCAAACGGGCCTAGTTTGGACCGCACTGACACGGCAGATTGTTTAAAGGGAAAGGAATCCCTTCCACACACTTATTCCCACCTCCTGAAACCAGAAACCCCCAATGACAAATGATCCGTAGGGGCTCGCTCCATCCCTCCCGAGAGACATCAGGAAAATGTTTCCTCCTTTAAATCCCCTATGATAATTTGAATTGGCATGTGAGCTCATAAGTGCCCCCGGCTAAGACTCCCGGGATGCTAGGTTTGATTATGAGCTGGTGTGACACAGCAGTTTTTTTTTTTTAAACACACTGGGAAATCTGTTTCTTTCAGAAAAAAAGAAGAGCGGACCAAAGGTTCTGTCCTCAACACTGGCTCTTTTCATCAAATATTACACCTGAGCAGTCATTTACCCCAAATTGCTGCTCAAGAGTAGGCGGACACAGAGACAGAGAATGCACATTAATGGGAAATAAAGTGAGAGGAGAAAACAAAGCCCACAATCAAATCTGACGAGAGAGATTCTGCTGCCTCCTACGTTTGTGTAGAGGAAAGAGCAGTTCAAACGCTCTTTCTGCCTCTAAACCTTGGATGCTGGTATGACAGATGAGCAGATTTTGATAATACATATTATTTTTAATGAATGTGTCAAAGAGAGTAGGAAGATTAGGAGGAAGATTAGGAGGAGGAGGAGGAGGAGGAGGAGGAGGAGGAAAAGAATTCCGAGCAACCTCACATGGCTCCCAGCAGCAGAAGCTTTTATAAATTAGGCATAATGGAGGAAGGGGAGGTGGGGTGGTAAAAGCAAGGGGGGAAGCAGAAAATGCAATAGAGCACAGCCATTATATGATAAGAGGCTCGAATAAACCGAGAGATCAAACTCAGGCCTGTGTGCATTTAATTGGAGCCCTAAAGTATAGCCCTTCATTGAACGGCCCGACAGACAGGCACCGCCCAAGGAGCAGACGATTTGGACTAGACTCAGAAAAAAAGGCTGATCTGTCAATCAATTAACAAGACAATAAAACAATTAAATGTTTATTTTTCCTCTGAATTGGAGTGCAGGTAATATCAAGGAAGCAGTGCAATCCCCAGTCGAGATTGCGGGATCACACAAATAAAGCAACACATTATTCACACAAATAATAATCATTATGTTTTAACTTTTGAATTAACTTACCGATTTCATTGCAGCTGCCATATCATCATATCTCTCAGCCTGTTCAGCCAGCCTGGCTTTCATCACCAGCTGCTCGCGATCAACCATGTTTAAATGATGTTTGGTTGCTTAGTCGAGCTGCTCTACTTGAGTTTTGGGGATGAAATGATTGATATTTTAAATCGCAATGCAGTGAAATCCTACGCTAACCTAATGCTGCAGCTGTTCCTTGCTGTCTGTCTGTGCTCCGTGCAGACGGGACACCCTCTCCTCTCTCCCTCCCTCACCCCTCCTCACTCTCTCCCTCGGCTGCGTCATCAGTCAGGAAGGTGGGTGTCTGTGCCAATGATGTAACACTCCATACATGGGAAGTACAGGCGTAAAGGGATGGATGGGAGCAGCTGGGGTAAAGGCCTTGTGGGAAATGAAGTCCTCTGGTGCCTGTGAAAACTGATTGACTAAGGTGTGGTCTGGGTATAATACAGGGTCTCACTGTGGGGGTCCACTGATTGGGCAGCATGAGCCGTTGAGCTACATGAGCGTGCTGCATGTGAAAACTGGTAAAAACGCATTTGTCTGAATCTTCGACTGGACAATCATCCGACCTTATCCTGCCAGCTATACCAAGTCCATGTAATATCCAATGTGTTAAAAGAGCCGTCCATTGTCCAGAGCATTCATAGAGATGAGTTTGAGATGTCATGTTGATGACTTTATTATCGCAATAGAAAGCGGACGACAACAAACTTCTGAGGGTAGAGGAGGTTCTGTTAAGGCCCAGATACACCGGCCAGTCACCTGAGAAGTCGCCGACGCCGACACCGACTGTTGCGTCGCCGGACTCTCCTGCGTATTTGCCGACTTCGCGCACTGGAACACACCGCAAATCCGAGCCGAGCACGTATGAAATGCAAATGCGTGAGTGGCAATAACTCTCCTTACCAGCAGGCGGCAGTAGTGTGTATTCATCATTCAAAAGAGGCAACAACCGGAACAACCGGAAGACAGAGAAGAAGAACAGACTCCGTGATATAAACAAACAACAAATTGCGTTTTTCTTTCCATTTTCACTCTCGTCCATTGAAAACATGAACGAACAGGAGCTCTATAAACCGATGAGGTGAAATAGCCGTCCGTGTGTGTTCCATCTTCCATTTTAAATCATTTGTTTACCTCCCTCACTTCCGTTAACGCTTCTCATGCACTGATTCGCTAGCTGAACAGCCAATCAGTGTTATCCCCTTGTCCGACTTCCGGTGGTGTTCCCGACGCCAATTCAACATTTTGAATCGGCAAGAAAAGGCGTCAGGTCGGCAGAAAAGACCCGACGGTGCGGCGCACACCACTCCGAATAGGGCGTGCCCACGCTCATGTTCGGCCCGACTCCCATTTACTGCCGATTTCGGGCCGGTGTATCTGGGCCTTTACACAAAGACACCCCAAAAAGATTTAACTATGGGACCAAGATAGGGGAAACTAAAGACCTGATAATACAGATATTGTTTGAATTCATATATAATGGCTCAAACGCCTCTTTCTGCTTTTGTGTGTGTGTGTGTGTGTGTGTGTGTGTGTGTGTGTGTGTGTGTGTGTGTGTGTGTGTGTGTGTGTGTGTGTGTGTGTGTGTGTGATGAAGGGCAGTTCGGGGGCTATACTATTACTTGTTTAATACCTTCCAGGACCCATGACAAAGGGTAAGATTCATAAAATGGATTTCTACAACTGTAAAGTCTATTATGTCGAAACAAGTTATAGCCTACACCCTTTCAAGTCATTCTGTATGTCCCTTCAGTGGACTTCTCAGATCTGCTCTTATCATGAGAGTGGCAGCTGGACAGTAAGAGGCTGATATCGTATGAAAATAGGACATTCTACATTTCAATAACCATCTAGTCCCAAGTGGAAATGAAACTCTTGGGCCGACCGTACACAAGGAGTTATTGACTACGTTTGTGTAGTCAAGAACTCCTGTACCTGCTTGAAAGAAACGCCTGCTGGCTCTCACAGACTGAGTTCCTCACGGTCCTGGAGAGTGAGCCTGGCTGACCTCGAACCAGCGGGTCAGACACCAATGTGTTCTTGGACTGATATTAAAATGACATTTGGTCTTAGGCAAACCGGCACAAATACAGCTTTATGAGTTGGGCTTTGGTGGGCTAATCCTCCTAGTGACAGGTGGAGGTTCTGAAAGCAAGCTTGGAAGAAATGTTCATGATTTGAGAAATTGTGTTGGATTTGATGTTATTAGCTTTTCTGTGTATTATTCATTATTTCTTAAATCTTGCCATATGGGCCACACTTGGCAAGGATTTTCCTCATAGCACGGTTGCTAATGTCTACATTTGGGTTTTTTTCAGTGGCCAGCAAAGAGCTCTGCTAAACAAATTGTTATTGGAATGTGATTCTAACATAAAAACATTGCGGTCATCAAATTCAGTGGCCATTATTCAGAGTAGTCAAATTAGATTTAGTAGAGGAACAACTCCTTTTGGCTCCCAGTTTGATAAGAAAAATACTTCTTATTTTATCCCCTTCCTTTCCCAGAAGCATTTTTAATGTAGAGATTTGAATCGAATGAAATTATTATTATTATTCATTATATGTTACTTGTTAGACACTTTTATCCAAAGCAACTTACATACTCAATATTGTGGACAATCCCCACAGGAGCAAATTGAGGTGAGCTGTCTTGCCCAGGGACACAACGACATGCTGACTGCAGTGCGGTTTGAACCTGTGACCCCATGATCTGAACACTTACGGACAACCCACTACGCCACACGCCACACGCATTAAATGGCTAGGTTATTTTTTACAGACATAATGACACACCTCTTCAACCATTTTATTAGCCTATTTAAAATTGTATAGGTTACATTTCAAATATTCTGGCTAGATACCCCATGTTTTCTGACTTTTTAAATGTATTTTTTTTAAATCATGACATCATCATGTTTGCAGGACAGCTCACAGGGCGTCCCTGAGCTGTAATCTGAGACAGCACTTCCTGTCCTCCATGCCATGTGAGCGATGCAAAGGGAAAACTCTGCTGAAGAAGCTGGATTTGTGAAGCTATTTTCCAAGCATGCATACTGAGAGCAGACAGTGCTTATCAAAGGCAGAGGCTTCATATCACTGCATCTTGAACGTCAGTCACTTGCACTGCAGTGTGAAACAGTAATTTCAATTATTTCACCCTGGTTCATGCGAGAAGTCTTAAGCTAACTAGAAATGTGTGTTACTTAAAGCAAAGGGATAAACATTAGTTCACAGCCCCATCTTCTGGTTAAACATTGAAGGGAAAGTGTGTGAGAGTGTGATATCATGTCTGTTGTACTTCATAACAGACATGATATAAAATAACCGTCTAGCACTAGGCCACCTGCATGAGGCTGTTAAAACAGGAGGGAAACCTCCCTTGGGCCTTTATTCCTGGTCTGTCTGGTGTTTGATTTGGAAGACTACTTTCTAAAATGTGTTCAAAGCCTGATTTTAAAAGTGGAACTGTAGAAGTATGAAATATTTATTTTAGCTCATAATTGTAAAAGATGTGTTATTTGTTATATTTTTGGTGAGGCAGTAAAACTTGGATTGATGGCTTAGGGACACTAGCAAGGAAACAAGCCATGTTCAAGCAGAACAGAAGCGTCTTCTTTACGTTTGCTTTTAGCCTTGTTTCATGGGGCTCTCTGCTTTAGGAAAGGGGGTTGTGGGGGTGTGTAGCCATTTTGCACATCTTTAAATGTGTTAATGTAGCGACATTTAAATTATTTTGGCAAAAGTATTTTAAAACATCACACATGACTATTCGTTTTGCCCTGGTAAAAAGCTAAAATATGAGGGCTGTGTGTCATTTTGTCAAAATATGAATGAATGAAACCGACATCCTTTTTAAGGGTGTCTAATCACAAAACTCTGGTGACAAAATAGAGCATGTTCTTGTTGTCAGTGTTCTCCCTCTATTTTCTTTACCATCCGCTGGCCTGCAGGAGAAGATTATCACCTACTGACCTGACCAGAGGTCAAGGGAGCAAGCGTGACTAGTGACGTGTAAACTGGGTCAAGTAGGAGGAGTTAGATACTGACTCTGTACACTTTATCATTTCATTTGGTTTAAAGTAATATAATATACTGACATGGCTACAACCGGAGCAATTGTTTATTGATTTATTGTATTGAGTGGTATTCTGTTTTGACCACTACAGAGATGCAATAGTCAGGTCTGTACGTTTTTTAAGCAAAAAACAGTCCAACATACCTGAGCCTAATAACATAATAGTTTAATTTGCAAAAGTAGTTCCATTATGTGTGTTGTACAGTCTTATAATGCAACAAGCAGCGCTAAGCTAAGGGATCTCTCCACTTCTCCAAAGAGGATTACTGTTTGTCCTGATTAGCTTAGTTACATTAAATTAGCATAAGTGAAGGAGAGGTCTGTTGTCCACAGCGGTCACCAGCCTGCCAAGTGGACAGTCGAACGCTCTCGCTGCTGTCAATGGAGACCAGGCGAGAGTTGGATGTTTTGATATTCCCAGATAAAGTGAGGATTCTTACTCCGGAAGAAGTCACACAATGGGAGCTTGCGACTGCGAGCCAGGTGCCAATGCCCTCCGTCAGACTCTTTGTGGCACTTTACCCATACAACCCTGCTGCAATGTCCCCCAACTATGAGATGGCTGCAGAGGAGCTGCCTTTTGTGCCAGGCCAGTTAATCAAGGTAAGAACCAAGTGATCTCTTTACTTTTGCAACTGGATGTTGATCTTGAGAAGAAGAGCAGGTGAAAAGGTGTATACATATTATTTGCTGCTCAGCAAGTGTGCTGGTACGTATGTTTAGCTTGTATGTATTTCCTCACCTCATTAGTTGAAAGGCTGCATGATGGTGTTTCCTGTTTGTGCTTTCAGCTGAGGCTGCACAGAGATCTCAGCTTTTTTCTAATATCCTGTCTGCTTTTGATTTAATTCACTGATTGATTTGAATTTTCACTCAATCCACTGACTGCTGCAACGTGCAGATATCCCTTAAATCCCCCATATAACTAAATTAAAGTAATACATCTCTTGCATGTATTAGGTGTTTGGAGACATAGACTCTGATGGTTTCTATCGGGGTGAGTCCGGGGGTCTCTCCGGTTATGTGCCAAGTAACATGGTGGCTGAAGTCCCAGTGGATGATGAGTACCTGAAGCATCTACTCATGCAGCAGGGATTCCTCCCCATGGACCACTCAGGTATAAACCCTCTGATCCTGCAGAACACTAACACAGAGGTAGTATAACAAAACATAGTTGTGTTTACACTGAGCTGTATGTGTGTACCTGGAGGAAGTTACAAAAAATACAAACATACTGCAACAGACAAGATATCATCGGTGTATATTATAATATTATCAATGAAACACCGCACTAATCATTTATTCTGCCCTTCCTTCAAAGAGTGTCAGCTTTTTAGCTGTTATTTTTTGGAGATTTGATGATCTCTAGAAACGTGCAATTTAAAAAAGAAAAGTGCATTAAAGTTGTATAATTTCATACAAGTTTTTTGTGTATTTTGCCTCTCAGGTATGTGTTTTAACCCGGATATGAGCGAAGTAGCCACTATCTCTGATGATGTGGTCGTTCGACGAATGGTGGCCCTATTTGACTACGATCCGTGGGAAAGTTCCCCTAACATGGACAGTGAAGTAAGCGCTACAATGAAACATGAGCTACGTTGTGTTTCTGCAAATTCTGGTCATCTGTTGTTTCAAATAACAGCATGGTTTGTGGTGATGTTTCAAAACTATTTTTGTCTCTCAAAGGATGAGCTTGGCTTTCGTTCTGGAGACATCATATACGTGTTAGGTGACATGGACCAAGATGGATTTTACTCTGTGAGTGTCAACTCTACAATTGTAATAAAATTATGTATTTGATTGATTAGTTATTGCACTGACTTGTGGACAGAACTTCAACTTTAATCTCAATTTTAGGGGGACCTGCACGGCCGACGAGGTTTGGTTCCTTCAAACTACTTGCAGCCACTACCATGGAATTAATAGTAAAGGTCACACCAAGATCTTACAAATGCCAAGTGTCAAACACATTCAGGATTTAGCAGTTTTGTTATAGTATACCAATGCAACTGCTTCTATGATTTGCTTTATTAGGTTAATATTTAAATGATTGATCAAGATGTTACATGAACAAGGGAAGAGTTCATCTCTTAACAATTTTCAGATCATTGATTTATTGGCAAACAAAAATGACAAATCATTTGCTGAAAAAAGAACAGAAAAATACAAATGACATGCATTTGAAAAAATTGAAACAAATCTTTATTCACATTATATTTTGATCTGCCTACATTCACTTTGCTTTAACTTTATGCACTTTCCCAAAATAAGCCAAAAGTATTATAGAAATAAATGTTTATATACATGTATATCTGTAAATGTAATTATAATTACATATCTGATGGCAATATACATTATATTAGCCTTAATAATACACATTTATTCTCAGTTGATTTGAAGACAAGAGTGTATTTATATAGTAGCCATGTTTGCCTTATTCCCTGTTTCTATCTTTTATATTATTGGCTTTTAGTTTTTATCGAAAATATCTATGTTTGTATACAAATATATTTATGTTATCAATGTAAGAACTGTTAAGCAGAAACTGAAAATAAGCTGTCTTGATTTTGTACAATGCTCATTTGCTTTATTTTATAAATAAAAAGATCTCAGCTACTTGTTTGTAGTTGTATCTTTTTTTACTACATTGATTGTAGTCATTCCCTATTGTAACAGGTTGTAAACATGCACTATTATCCTACAAATGGCTTGGCAAAAGCAACAGACACATTTAGCAGGTGGTCATGGTGGCAAGTTTTACAAATCTTTCACGCAGTGTCCGTTGGTTTCTTCTTGTACATTCCTTTGCAGCCAACAGTATACTCATCCATAAAGTAGGAAACACTACACTGTGTAATGACGTTTAGTAGTGCTTTCTACTTTATGGGTGACAACACTGTACATCAGTAGCTTCTGGTCGATCCAAAGCAAACACTCAAGACATGATGGGTTGAGTGAAGGCAAGTTCTCAAACATTATATTCAACACAAGCACATTCTCTAACATCATTTTATAACTGAAAAACAAGAAAACAAATGGACTCAAAGAAACGTTAGGAAAATAATGTAAGTATTAAGTCTCAAATATTATGATGCATTTATATTACAGAATGCATTATTACAGAGATACAACAAATAAAACCAAGTCAAGTCACACGCGGTCAGGGTCTTACCAGCATTTGGACTCCTCAGAAGAAAGAAAAACAGAAGTGAACTTGATCTTTTTATTAACCCTGTCTGAGCCACGTGATTACAACAGGAAACAGTGTCTCTCACACTCTCACACACACACTCTCACACACACACACACACACACACACACACACACACACACACACACACACACACACACACACACACACACACACACACACACACACACACACACACACACACACACACACAAAGATGGTTGTGGAAAAAGTATTTTAACATGTATATAAGTATGTGAACATGCGCCTTCCGTTGAAATAAGTAATCATTTGTTTAAAAAAATCTACAAATGTTTTAACGTTTATGAGAAATTATTATTTATATATTTCCTTTATGAGCCTGTAGCTGCTCGGGGTAGGTCCATAACCAGTTATATAGTGAATATCAAAATACAATTACATAGTAACACATGTAGGATCTCCCTATAGCCTTCTGAAAGTCAGATTTTCTAAAAGTAATAGCACCTTAGAAATTGAACAATTGTATTTAATAAAAAGAGTTTATAAGTCTACGTAGTTACTTTCAACATCTGCACACACACACTCACACTCTCACACACACACACACACATACCCACACACACATACCCACACACACATACACGTCACACACACATATACGCATGCAAATTAAAAACCTACGCCTTTAAAGCTGCAGACTTCACCACTGATGCCGAGCGTTAACTCATCCCTTTTAAGGACATGCAGTTAAGAGTTGACACCTGCTTTTAAGAGAGAAGTCAGACACTAAAGCAGAAAAATGTATCCAAGTAATAATAAATGCGGATGTGTTTAAATAATCTCACGAAATTACACTTTTTAGTGGTGCAGCATTGAGGCATGTTCCCAGACCTAAATCGCAAATATAATTATACAAGTCCAAAGTAAAATCAAGATTAATAGCACATTATTCACAAAATGAGTTTATTTTCGAGATGTTAATTGCATATGTTTTCAGACCGATTATTGTGCCATTAAAGATTCCAAAGATTCAAAGATTTAAAAGCTTTATTGTCATATGCACTATAGCTACAGTGTAGTTTTGGCAATGAAAATCCTACATTTACGGCTCCTCCAACAATGCAACAATACAATAAACTTAAAATAAAAGACAGAAACATAAAACCTAAACAATTAAATGCACACTTGGTGAGAGGCTTGAGATGCGGCAGACCATTAGCACTGTTCTTCAATTAGTCTATATTTTCCAGTCATGCAAGGCTAAAAGTCTCTTACATACAGGAAGAGATTCTTATCTCGATTTTATTTCTGAGAAGTCATTCACGCCTGCGTGTTTCTGACAAGGTGTGGTAGGGGGTGGTGGTGGTGAGAGGTTCTTCCCCATCCCAGCAGCAAATGTGCAATACGCTTGCAACAACAGAAACTTTGCAAATAGAATAGAGACGGGCCTGTGTCCTCTGTTGTCACGACAACCCAAACCTCAGAGTCACACCAAGAGAAATAAGAGGAAGTGGGGGATGGGCGGCACGCACAAACCGAGAAAGGAGGTGTTTGTGAGAAAAGTAAAAAAGAAAAGACAAGCAAGGCAGTAATGTATCAGACTTTTTTTTTTAAAAAGAGGTTGCAAGTGCAGGAGTTGACAAGAAGTTTATGTTGCTGCACAAAATCAGATGCTAAATGTTTTACTGTAAAGCAACACATGTACCCTCACAAAGATTACAATATGTGAAAACTAGTCCTTATATGTCGTCCAACAACAAACAGGCTGACCCTCTGCAGCAGCCGAGCATGACTGTGCACCCTGCAGATTATCTCAGCACTGCTGTGCCAGAGGCTGTGTTTGCATCCAATACCTATTCCTGTACAACATGGGATTAAATCCAAAGTCAGCTCCTTGAGTACTTACGATGGTTTAAATAGTGATTGTGCCAAAAACAAGTGAATGATCTAATGACAGACGCAGGTATTGTCCTCCCAAGACTCTGCTTAGGACTGATTGAATTATGTTGTATTTACGTTTACACTAATTGCTCCCAGACAGCGGTAGGTGGCTGCAGTTTAAGTTTTGTATGTGTATTGCCTACAACAAATCAAATTTAAACCATTCAAATGTAAACATTTTTAACAGTTATGATGAATCTATCAAAAGTGTGATTCCAAACAGGTCATTTTTTTAAATGGCCCAAAACATAAATGTAACTGCATTTTACTTCCCCTGAATCAGATACAATTGATTTGCTGGCTCTGTAAGTCTACCCAAAAGTAAAAATGTATATTTGGAATATATTTGTTGAAGGGGGCATTCAGAATTCTTTCTGTATGTACTATTTATTTTATGGTTGTGCAATTACACCTTGCGTTTCTTTTAAAGAAATGATGTGTAGCTGCATTGGACTGATCACTTATTGGCATGGCCTTCTCTGTGTCTACTGCCTTTAGTTATTTTTCTTTGTTACTCCAGCAGGAAGTAAAGGCTTCTCACTCATGGGTGGGGGTCACGGTCACCTAAACTCTGCAGACCACCAGAAACCCTTAGACACTGAAATACACCCATACAGTATTTTTAAAAGAGAATAGATCTGATGCTAAATGTCCAAATAAAAAGCAGATATTGTTTAAGACACAAGAAGAACTTAATGTTGTCATGTCCAAAAAATACAAGGTTAGCAAGAGTGTGAGAGGGCGCTAATCCTTCTTCAACACACACACAGCTGACAACAAACAACGTACAGACCATACAAAATGCTCAAATACGCAAGAAGCCTACTGATAATAGGCGCAACCTTTAACATTTGACGAAAAAAAAAACTAAACATTTACATTTCTATTTCTCTAATACAATATATTTAAATATCTGCAATATATTTTGTGCCCAGGCGATTGAGTAACTTAAAGGTAATATGAATGGACTTAAAACACATCCTCAATTTAACTGGAAGCCTGTCTGAAAATCGAAATATTCCGATTAGATTCAAACTTCTAACAATTCCTGCTTACATCATGGCTCCAAACTGCTATCAGACTTGTTTGCTGCTGCCACATAGTGGATGATAGGAGGTGACTCTGACTGATACCAACTGCAATACAGTGATCTAATGGGGGGGAGAATAGCATGTGATACGTCATCACGACACCTCTGTAACTAAGACAATGCATGCCCCCCAAATAATTACCATACTTTTCTAATAATGCTCAACGATGCAGGAGTCACACTTAAACTTTAATAATACTTGCACAATGTTTCACAAACAGCTGAGATGAAACAGTCTGTATCAGAGTCTGAACCGTTTTACCACACAAAACATCAATTAGATTACTGATAAGATTATAAATTACAGTTCAGAGTTCAAATGACTGAGGAACGACATGCAGGAAGGAAGCTTTCCAGTTTCATAAGACATTTATTGAGATAACATATCACAAGAGGCACTATTATAACACCTTCAATTAGTCCGGTAGCCTGTACATTTTTTATGTACATAGCTACCGTTCAACCGTGCCAAATTAAGAGCTTAAATATACAAATTATTTGATAAACAGTAAACGACAACAAAAGTAAATACTAATGACACATGTTTTGAAGTAAGACGTTGTCTTTACACCGAAGAAATCGCACACAGTTCTTAAAGTTGTACATATTCAGTACATTGTATTTCATGTATTAGACAATCATCAGTGGACATATTCATTCATTAAGGATACCAGCACTGACATGATCAATAACACAGTGCTAACCAGAGCAGCATGACCACCAGAGTAATACACCTGCCGTCCATTCAAAGGCTGCAATGGTCTGAAGGTTTTGACCATCTGATCTCCATTAGAAAACTGAAGGTGGGAGAATGCAGCAATCTGTATCGAAAATCACAACAGACAGGTGAAAAAGCAGAAAATCTAGTCCATTTACCATCTTCAAAAACTGCAGATAAAGGTTTTCAATGTATTATTGTGAAACTAATCACCTGCTTCCTGCTGAGAGGAACCGTGTTTTCGAACAGGCTCCAGACGACAGCTTCAGCACAGCCGGGTGTAGTGAGGGAGCCATTATAGCGTAAGTACTTGGTCATGTTCTTCTGAGGAGGTGTGAACATTTCCAGGGATACACCCTCCAGTGTCGTGCTGTTGCCTGTTTTTAATGAAATATTAACAAGGCAAGGCTGTTAGCAAGATATACATTTTTATACCACAAAAAGGTTCAAGGTGGCAGCTTTTTATCCTATTAATTGTTGAGATGATAATAATGTATTTTATGGCATTGTTTTATCACATTACAATTGCCCTTCAGCCCAAAGCAGAAGAATCAATGGTGTATTTAGAACCCTATGTTGCTAATGATAAGATATTCAAGAACAATTATCTTTCATTTCCACGTCAGCAGGGGACTCACCGGGTTGTGTGATGTTTTTCAGAGCGTTAATAAGGGGATCGAATTTCTTGTTTGCAGACTTCGACTCCTGGAAGGAAAAAAACGAAAAGTTCTGGGTAACAGTTTTGCAAAAGAAAACAAAATGTTGATTGTCTGATGAAACAGATGCTGACGGAACATTTGATCCAAAAAAATGTAATATTGTCTTTTCAAAAAGATAAATTCAATTTTTTTTTACAATGTCTTTTGGGTTAAACTTTTTATCCTCGCTTGATTCTCGGGCCTATTATTTGTCTTTTGTTATTTAATGGAGGTCATTGTAAGGAGCATTTTCACACAAATTGAATTGCAAATCTTTCACATCCATTTAACAAAGCTGAGTTTAAGAAGGATGCTGGTCCAGAACAACAAATAACTTACAGTATGTTCAACTTCTATTTGAATGAGATCTCTACTTTTTTCTTCTGCACAGTTATCAAAGCAAATCACCTCAAAGACGAATCCAAGAACAGCCACGCCTGTGCTGTCTCTTACAGCCTCTGATAAAGAGTTGTATTCTTCTTTTATGTGCACAATATGCATCTGTTGATAGAATATTATAGTTCAGCATTTCATTTATTTGGATATAGTACACAAAAATGGCTTTATTGCATAATTAAGGGACACTTCCATGCTAGTAGTTCCCACCTCCATTGGAAATTGTTCTCCATCGATTGTGTGTTCAGACCCTGGTCCTCCGTCTACGCCCCAATGCAGGTGAAGTTGAATTGCCTTGTATTGTGCGGCCAGATTTCCTCCTTTGATCTTTATACTGGAGGGTAAATCCAGTTGAACTGAACATAACATTTGACGATGGAAATCACAGAATTATGAATCACAATATTATGAATTAATTATGGTTACCATCAAAAATAGTTATTTTGTTTTTTTTGTTTTGCATTATAAACAATTGGGGAAGTTATTTTCTTTTATACCAGATGACACACAGCTTCAGATATTTTTGTATTGAATGTTATTATCCTTTTGCCACCTCTTTATCCATAAAAGATCATTGTAAAAAAGATTTACAACTGTGTTAGTTGCCTTGTGATTACGTACAGCCAGTTAAGTTTTGTTGAGCTGATTTAAAATCATTCACTGGTAAGAATACCAATACTCTTTTTTAACTTAATCTGTAATTATCAGAAAGACTTACCAGTGTGACCATTGTTTAAGAGGCGACCATGAAAAGCTTCTTGGTATCGAGTGAAGTGAAAAGAGGTGAGCCTTTCATCTAGAAGCATTCTCCTTGTAACAATGTTCACCGGAGACTGATGTCTGCCGTTGCACTGCTGTGAAACTATTCCCCATAGCTCTGGACCTGTGAGGGCAAATAGGTGAAGAAAATAACTCCACTACTGCATCTTTTCCTATTTTTTTAAACTGTGAATTGCTCGTCTTGAGGTTTACCTGTACAGTTGTGACTGCATGTAACTTGTGACTGATAACACCAATCTACAAGAACAAGTTTGAAATAAGAAAGGAAATACAAGCCTCAAGCCGAGGAAAATGTGATCTTCTCTTTCACAAACAAAACACCAACACTATGTTTACTTTATAAATGTCAAATTAATTCAATTATTTTTGGTGAACATACCATCCCCAGAGGCAATCCTTATAGAAGATGCAAACAAAAACAAAACAGGTGCAAGCAGCATTGTGACTTTACTGTATCTGTCCGAGTCTGCCTGCTTTGAGGATTGATCTTTTGGAAGATGATCCCAGAAACAGAGTTCAACCAGCCTGTTAAACGACAGGTTGACCCACCTATCAATCCCGCCCACAACGTGCCTTCGTTTTATGACTCCTGATTCCCGTGAACACTGATACACAGCAAACAGTGATATCTGAATGCTGACATTCACAAGATATAAATGGACCCTTACTCACAGGGTTTGGCCTTAAACTCAGCTTCAATGATACAGTTTAGACATAACCCCACCTGATCAGATATGGTGACGTGATTATCATAAAGGGTTTATTTTCTTAGAGTAAAGAATTCTGTTATCAGTAATTTAAGCTGAATGTTATTTATCGACAATTACTGTTACTGATGCGGCTTTTATGATTAATGCTCCGCTCGCCAAGTGTAATACTATTTCCAGTATTGCTCTTTTACTTATCAAACTTATGTCTGATGTAATAACATTTCAACTAGTCTTTTTACTTGCAATGTGTTCCCTGTCTTTACCCATATCTAGCTTTATATTCAGGGCTGCACATAACTGGTGCGCAGGTGCGCATGCGCACCCCCCGCTAAAAAAAGGAGTACCGGATCATTTAAAAAAAGACGCATTTGCGCACCAACATTGAGAGAGAGAGAGAGAGAGAGAGAAAAGAGAGATGAGAGAAGAGAGAGAGAAAGAGAAAAGAGAGAAAGAGAGAGAGATAGAAAAGAGAGAGAGAGAGAGAGAGAGAGAGAGAGAGAGATTTGCGAGTTGCATAAGAACTGGTAAGATAGCAGGGTTTCCACACATAGACTTTACTTGGGCGGGCCGCCCAGGTATATTAACGGCCACCAAAGTATAATTCGTGAGCCATTTAGGTTTAATTGTTTTAATCCGTCCACGAGCACGACGGCATCTGCAATCTCTCGCTCTACCCCTCGCTATCGCGTGA